CGTCAAAAATCACTGATCTAAATTGTAAGTAGGTATAAGTTGTTACAAGAATGCAGGAGTTTTCCGTGAACGATCTGCGAAAAACACTGCTTTTCTTCGACCAGCAAGAAAAGCACGACTTTTTCTCCAACCGTTTCCGGAAAAATCCAGCATCAAAAAGTTTTTGCAATCAAAGTATGTAGATGTAAATTTGTATTATAGTGTATATATAATCCTGGGTATGGTTTAATTCAACCCTTGAATATAAATATGCCCAAGCTCTTTTGACTGTTAAGTCATCATCAGGGCTGTCGTCAAATTATAAGCAAACCCCAAATTCACTCTTCGTTTCTAAAAAGTTTTTAGAGAAAAATCACCGTTGTAATTGTACAAGATGTTACAAGAATGGTAGAGTTTTCGGTCAACGGTTTCCAAAAAAGCACTGTTTCTCTTCAGCCAATGTTACGGCGATTTTTGAGCCTGTGTGGGGGCCGAAAATATGGGCCTCCAATAACGTGAACATGCGACCAATAACAAACGATCGTACAAGTTGTAATTGATTTCTTCTAGCTTTAAACTAAATATTTTTGTATGCTCATTTGTACTTTAAAACGAGAAATTATTTATTTATTGTATGCCAAAATTAGCTCAGTTTAAAAAAACAGGGGAATTAATTTGGTTGATTTTTAATTGCTAACAATTTTTGAGCTATGGAATTAATTATTCAGCCTCAAAAACACGAAAACTACAAATATTAACGATAGATACATTTTAAAGTTGGAAAACAGTATTTATTACATGCATAATTGCATAACCGATTACATTATTCAAATGAGGATTATTTCAATTTGTTCATTATGTAGTATGTGGGAAATGTTACAAAGTTTCGACAAAAGCGTGTGAAACATTTCCATCTCGATATTCACAAATATAGATCTCATATTTGAAAGATGTGAGCAAGCAGATAATTTTAACTAGAAAAAAATGGGTGCGCTTAAGGGAAATTTATCAAAAGTAAATCTTGTTTGCAATGATTTAGGCATTTACCAGTGAATTATTAGATCAGCGAAATCAATTTATTTTAATTAATTGAAGCGTTTTATTAAGCAAAATGAAGTCGAAAGATGAAAGGCAATTTTTTCCAACTTGGATCAAACTGTCACCTGTAACTCATAAGAGTGATATTAGCTTAGATCGGTGAAATTTGAGAATTTGCACTTTTATTTGTTGTTGTTGTTGTTGTTATTTTTGTTACAACACCGCCATCATCAGATTTAAAATTTACACAAACTACAAACACCAATTCACAATTAAAACATGTTGTATAAAAACTATAATTTAATTATTTATTAACTAACTTATCATTTAATTAACTAAAAGAACGTTGATTTTTACCAATCATGAAGTAAGTTTTTCCAGTGTTTTGCTCTCTCAAAAGGAAGGATTTTTTCCCTCAAAAACTGAAGAATGTTTTAACACTTTGTAAATTATAGTTTTTACACAACATGTTTTAATTGTGAATTGGGGTTTGTAGGTTGTGTAAATTTTAAATCTGATGATGGCGCTGTTGTCTCGCCGAAACATAATGAAATAAACGATGTTCAAAAAATGTTTACTTCACACTTTGACTGAGACCCAGGAAAAATAAGAATATCATAACAAGTACACGCAGTCAGGAAAATAAACCAGAACATCCTGTAGAATACAATGAAATAAGTACTATTTTAGTCTTTTCGGTTCAATCAAATATATTTGCGCATTTAGGACGTCCATTAGAAAAAAAATATATTTCTTGGGCATCAGTAATCTTATGATAAATACAGGGAGTTCTACATTGATACGAACATATTTTCAGTGTTTAGAAATTTTCTTAATGGGCGGTTTTTTTCTGTAAACTGTTTCGAGTTGAGCTCTGTCTAAAGAGAAAAAAACCTATACATAAACGTCAGGAAGAAATTCCGATAGACCACGGCTTCAAAGCCCGGAAAACATTCTTAAATGTAACCTATACATACATCAAAATTGCCAAAACAACAGTTTTTTTTATAAAAGAGTCGGGCTTTTGTGGTCATTGCTAAGACTTGATGAGTTTTTGAACACTCTTAACTGATATTCTCAACATGTTTCTAAAATATTTGCACTTCATGATGAAACATCATGTATAACGCAACTTGCAAAGAAGTGAAATTTTGGCGATTGGCGAGAAAATGGAATTTTCTTCAACTCTTACCAACCAACCGCTTATGGAAACTAAATATATTTTAAAAATATTAATTAAACGCCCTCTAAGGAAAGATTCAAAATAATTTAAAAAATCGTGAGAAGTTATAGAAAATTCTTTAGTAGGTAATATTTCTTATTAGCAAATAGAATTATATGAAAAAAATAAAAATCTTAAATTCGAAAGCATGTCCAATTTGATCTGCTTCAAAGGACCGATATTAATTTTGAATCGCTCTGTATACGTCCAACTGTTAGAAGTTGCGTTTTTTCGAGAAGTTTTCTTTCCTTTTTCGAGGTTAAAATATGTAAAAAATAAGTCAGGACAAGTCAACTAACATAATAAACAAATATCATTAAAAAACGAACATATTTTTCAGACAAGTGCAAAATAGTCATTAATGCTGAAGTAATGATGAAATCTAGGACAAGGAATTAACAGCGAAAGCAAAAGAGGTTTTTATTTATTTAATTTACTTATATTTTGGTACTTATATTTTAAAACAATAATAAACATTTTATTTCTTGTGGATTGCGAAACCTTTGTGTTGGATATTTTTTTATGTTTTTTTTGTTTTAGACTAGATCATTCGAAAATTAGGATTTTGGGTTAGAAACCGAAAACCTGTCAAATGAGTTACCACTATTATCAAAATTCTAAAACAAAACACAACATTTGGCTGTGCGATTCAAAAGAAGATTTTTGAGACCACCTAAACTTAAAGAGAGCTAAATTTAATGAAATTATCATTACAAGAATCTGTATCATGTATGTGAAATAGTTTTTTGCAAACTGATCTTGTCGATTATTGAATAGTTAATCAGGAACTTTTCCAATGGACCTTCTATTCATCTAATATGTCCTGTTGATTGAACTGAAGACGTTTAATGACCGCTCATTTAAAAGCAAGTATGAAGATTTTATAGAGGAATGGAAATTGCATTTAGAAAGACGGATCTAACTTCTTCGTCTAAAATTACTTTAATACTGTGAGTGGATTAAACACAATTTTGTAGAACTCATTATAGACAACATTGATTAGTGGAAATATGCACATCGATATATCTACGGTTCCAATTTTTTAAGGTCTTTTTGCGATGGGACACTCTGTATGTAGATATGCGAAAGCAACAATGAAATGGCTTTTTGCAAGCATTTAATCACTCATATACATTTCAGATTTAATATAGCGTTTACTCCAGCCGTTGTATATGAATATGATATGCAATTAGCATCGTCGATCTATTGTATGCAATTAGGTACGTGACTTGGTTGGTAAAAAATATCTGTATTCGTTTATAAAAAAATTCAATTCGTGGAAATCATATACTTTAAGTGAGTAAAAAATAGTAAATTTATCCGAAATATTTTTTGGAAGCTGTGGATTCCAACGTGGAAAGTTAGATATAATTTAATACATCTGTCCTTTCTTGAGACTTTAAAATCGCAACAGTAAGCAGAGAAGCAGATAATTGAGTAGTTTCACTTATTTATTGTTATTGACGTTTTTCATATATTTGTCTATGATTATTTCCAGCCTATCGCTTAGAGTAATAAATAAAGCAATTTTCCGAATGTTATGAGCACGGCCAATTAATAACAATTTATATTTGCTCGGGCGTCATTCTACTAAGTGAAAGTTTATTATCGTGGTTAATCGTGGAGTTGTAGGCTGAACATACCGATAATTTGCATCGTTTTAATTTTTTAAATTACATCTTTCGCTTAATTTACTGGTCACCAAGTTGAGAAAATATTGGAAAATATGTAGGTGTAATTGGAAACGATTTGTTTGCAACTGATTGGAACGATCCGCCTGCTACTTGGCATTGTTTAAATTTATATTGACCTCATGCATACGAGTAGGTACTCAGTCATGATCCATATAAAATAATAACTGCCCTATTATTAGTGCATGGAAGTGTTTAGGAAAAATCGCATGTAGAGCGCGTACCCGGATGTACTTTAAATAATTTTCTTCTTGGACATTCGAGACAAAAGGGTTAATTCCTCAGAAATATTGTGTAGTGATAGAATACTAAAATTCATTTTTATGCGTATAAGAACGCAATGTTTAAAATTGTGTTTTGACTTGTGAATCTTGAGTGTTGAAAAGCATGCACATCAAAATCTTCAAGGTTTAGAGAGAGTAGCAAAAATAACGTAAATTAATCTTTTTTCTTGGAATGTCATATTTTTTATATAGAATGTAGCCCACTTGAAAACATCGTAAAATTACCAAATTTATGAACGTTTTGTAACAATATATCGTCGAATATGTATTTTATACAGATGTAAACGTAAACCAGCTTGTTATGGATTTCGGAATTTACGGTGATGATACGAAAGAAAACATAGCCTAATGTATTAGAAATGAATACAAAGTACGCAGTTTTGAATGAAAAAAAAAACTCATTCTCTCGCTTCGGAATCGCTTTTTGCCAAGAAAGCACAGGTAACATTTAGAGCTTCCAGTTCATTGGGACTATACTCCAGTGTACCTATTCTTGACGACTAGGGAGTAGAACAGCCGAGAGAAGTGGGCTGGGTTTTATGACAGTCGGCCGAAACGGTATTCCTGAAAAAAAATTGAGAGAGGGAGCCGTTCCCCAGGGAGCGGGAATGATCGACTGGTACGACGCAGTAGAAAGGGCATCTCCCCGGGTTTTCCAACCWCAAATCGTATTTGTTTATGTTTTGGATCTGAGGAACGGGTGTAACGATCATTTCAACGAGTTGTGCTTAATTTTTTAATTTAATTTAAGTGCTGAAGGAAAGCGGCTACATAAATGAAATTACCCTTCATAAAACTGTATTCATTTTACTAGTACATTACCTTACCTCAATAGGGCACAGAAGCAATGAACCATGCTTAAAAAACAAAAACTGTTTTTTAATAAGTATCTATAAACGGTTTGGAAATAATTACGTACCAGCAGAAAACGAGGGAATAAACGACCGTTTCTTAGCTTAGATAAAGACAAATACATGATTCTTAGATGTCTGTCTCTTTTAAAACAAAAGGTTGGTACGAGTTCCGCCACAATAGTAAATAAATGACGTTGGCGAGCATGTCAGACCGTCAATATTTTCTCAATTTTGATTGGTCAGATAAGCTGGCAACAGTGCTTGCAGGGACTGCTGGAATACTATTTTTTTACGCTAGGGATCGTGAGCGAGGAGCGACACCCTGTGATGCTCCCGGGGATACTCCCTTCTCTCAAAGTCAAGAATAGACACACAGATGAATGATGATTTTAATCAAAAGTGGTACACATTCTTCGACCTGATAAAGGCAAATGGGGTTTCAGTAAATGTATTTGACTCGCTTAAATCAACCATAAATTACACACGTTTTTCGAAGATCACGGAGAATTAGGAATAATGCGACGTTAGAATATATGTCCTGATATTTGAATAGGTTTTTTAATTAAATAGGTAAAATTCCAAGTAACTCAAAGGCAATTTTTATGTGAAAATAAAATTGCCAATCTTTCGGAGGATTTACGTGACACTTTTACGTAAATAAGGACGATAAAATTTGAAAATTAAATCTTAGGGAGCTCGGTTTGTTTTTCTATTAGCAATTAACAAAAAAATCAGCGTCTTACACGAAAGTCGTTATATTTCCTGTGCACTTCCAAATAAGTGTCACAAATGGTCTCGATTTCTCACTTTTTTATATGGAAAGTAACTTGAAAACTTTGAATAGCAATCTTTTTATTTGGCACAAATATACGATCTAATGCATTTCGGCGATATGCGGCAGAAACGTCGAATGTTAAGGATAGTTGAAAAGTCGCAATGTTAAAACTGCGCACTTATTTCCCATAAACTTTTAGATTTGGTACTTTAAGCATCAGATAAAGCGCATTAGCGGCTTCCTAAAAAGTTCTTCAATTTTTGCTTTTGTAAATTTATACTTTTCTATTAATTTAGTTGAGAGAGAGAGAGCTAGTTTAAGGTTGCTGCTTAATGAACTTGTTAGTTTCTTAAACGTTTTATTTTTTCATGATTTTGCATTATATTATTTTTATTTTTTGACGATTTTCTTTTGCGGTTTTCGAAACAAATGAATTTTCTTACTTTTCTTCCTTATTTACTTTTCATTCCTAATTCATAATTGCACATCACCAGATTCAGATAGGCAATTTTTTTCAAGGGCCACTTTTTGGCGTAAATGGGAGTAAATTATGGAAACTTTATAAATGAGTAAAACTTACTCAAGAGGCATTTAAATATTGCAACGTAATTATGAAAGTGTGATAATGCACGTATGAATTTATATAACGGCTCTAGTTTCAATTGTGAAGAATTATATTACATAAAATTTAAAAAAAAGAAGAAATTAAAAGTAAATTTTCTCAATTTATATAATTAAATTTATAAAATTAAAACTGCAGAAATCTAGAGATTTTGTGTAATTTTGTGTGATTTGAGAAATGTATTTAGTTCAATGGCGTTCTTATGTTCAAGTTAGAAAATACGTTAATAAACGATAAATACCAAAAATAGGGTCAACAAGCGAATATTTTAATGCAGTAACCGAAATAGTTTATTAATTAAATTGATAACCAAAGCTTGAAAAATATTCCAAAGTTTGTGAAAAGAACATGTTTAGGCTGAAAATAAATCCCAATATTAAGGTAATTTTTTTAAAGTCAAAACGCATCTTTAACGCAGAGAGCAGGGTCAAGAACAAACAAATAAATAACATCTTGTCGTTTTTTGGAAATAAAAAAAGTTGCTAATCATAACAACGCCATTGAAAAAAAGTTGGTAATTTCTGATATATTATTGTGCATAGAATTTACTCGATATCTTTAAAAAACTACATTTAGGAATGTTTTCCGGGCTTTGAAGCCGTGGTCTATCGGAATTTCTTCCTGACGTTTCGTCCACAACTGCGGTGGACATTTTCAAAG